CTTACCTTGCAATATTATTTTATGATCTCTGTGCAGGTCTTCTGTTAAGTCTCTTAGTATTTGTGTTCGGGGTTTCTCTCATGATAGTAGACAGAGGGCTCCTCTGATGCTATCTTCTCAAGATGACAAGAGGGGAGACTAAGGGAAGGAAAACAGGGAGACTTCTGTAGCATCTAGGCTGCAGCACTCAGGACCAGACAGCTCTGTCTGTGTTAGGAGCTCTAGTGGTTCCCTTAGTTCCACTAGGAGGGCTGAGGGATCAGAACTTAGGCTGGTCAAGGTGGAGGGTAGGAAGCAGGGTGAGAACAGGACTGTGTATGTGTGAGTGCTGGAGTGTTGGGGTTGGGTTCCTGGTCATAGGAGCGACAGGAAAGGAATGGGGATTTGCATTGAGACTATGGGAGAGGGCATCTACTTTGGTGAGCAAGTAGATGGTACAGTTGTGACAGAGGCATTAGCAGGAAGAAGAGGTCAGTGAGGTGGCAGAGACCTGCAGAATTATCCATGAGAATACTCAGACCATCAGGAATTCTGCTACAGTGTAGGACAAGACTCCATGGAGAAGAGACAGTCCTTTACAAGTGGGGTGACAAAGGCTCTGTGTATGTGGGGGGGGGGGAGGGCAGGAGCCCACTGAGAGGGCAGCCGGTGGGATGGAAGCCACGCTGAGAAACTGCAGTACCTTAAGAGAGGATGTGGGCTTCCCGGTATCACTAGGCAACCATTAAAGCAGTCTGGAGGTGGTGGTCCACACCTCTAAACCCAGCATGCAGGAGGCAGAAGCAGGCAATCTCCGTTGAGTTAGAGACCTGCCTGGTCTACAAAACAAGTTCCAGGATAGCTTTGGCTGTTTAATGAGAACCTGTTTAGAAACAAAAGTAAACAAATTCCAAAACCTATTGTTGGCTTTTATGTCTTGGGGACATGTGGAGCAGAGGTCAAAGCTCCCTTCCCATTTAAGCCAATGCTCTGGTGAGGTGTTCCCTCTGCAAGGTGCTGCTGAGCTGCAGGGATCCATCTCAGCATGGGAGAGCCATGAGGACCTCTGTGTTGCCTGAGCTTGAGTCCAGTGAGTCAGGGCCTGAGAATGAATGTACTCACTCATTTTATATATCTACTCATTATATAAATAAAGGATTTATATAATGTTACATAGTAGATATGTTCTGGCTGTCCTTGAACTCACTGGGATCCTCATATCTGAGCCTCCTGAGTTCTGAAATTACAGGTGTGAGCCACCATACCTTGTGCGCCATGTAGGTTTAATTTCGTCTCCTTTTTATAATGCAGACTTGTGAAAACTAAGTGTAATTGGATTTGTGGGATTTCCTTTCAGTTTCTGGCTTTTGTGTTCTGTTTAAAAAGCTATGTGTGTGTGTGTGTGTGTGTGTGTGTTAGGGTTATGAAACATTTTCTTCTTTTGTCCTTATACTCTTGGATTTTTTTCTTTTTTTCTCTCTCTTTTTTTTTAGATTTATTTATTTATTATGTTTACAGTATTCTGTCTGTATGTATGCCTGCAGGCCAGAAGAGGGCGCCAGATCTTATTACAGATGGTTGTGAGCCACAATGTGGTTGCTGGGAATTGAACTCAGGACCTCTTTCTCTCTCTTTTTTCTTTCTGATTTTTTTTTTTAGTTGGTTTGTTTGTTTGTAGGTAGTATCTCACTATGTAGCCCTGGCTATCCTGGAACTTGCTTTGTAGACCAGGCTGGCCTGGAACTCACAGAGATCCACCTGCCTCTGCCGCCTGAGTGCTGGGATTAAAGGCTGTGCCACACTGGCCAGCTGGCTTTCTTTTTCTTAAGGTCATGTGTGTGCTGCCTGGAGTTTATTTTGGTGTTTCCTAGGCAGCTTGCCACTGCCAGCACTTGAGTCTTCCCCAGTGTGGGCCTCTGTGGACCTCCCATGTCAGTGTGGATTCTGAAGGTCCTTGCTGCCACCCAGTTTCCTACAGGGCATGGGCTCTGTCTATACCCCTGATAACTGCTGCCATTTGAGCACTTTCTCTGGAATTCTACGTGCCAGCTGTCCTGTTTCTGAGGCTCCTCTACCTGCCCTCTTGGCCCTTTCCTCCTGCGTAGCTCCCTGTTATTCCCAGTCCTGTTCCTAGTAATTGGTCCTGTTTCCCTGGAATGTCTTCCTGCTCACTTCCTGCCTGTGGGATCTCTCCTTGCCCTCCTACCTCATGCCCCTCAGTCTCTGCCATCGGTGCGAGGGCCTTCGCAGCTCCATCGCACAAGGAGTCGAGATGCTTCATGGTGGCTTGACCGACTGGGTGGCCTTACCTTCATTCCTTGCCCTTTCCTTGCCCGGTGCCCAGGTGCTGTTCTTTCTCCAGGTGCCAAAGTGTACCTGTGCCGTGGCAGTTTATGCTCACCTTGCCCAGTACAGAGCTCGCAACATAGTTTCTATCGGGAGTAATCTTCACGTGGTCTAAGTTCAGCTACACTGTACCAGGCACAAGTACTTCCCCATACCTGTTCCCATTTCTACTTCCTTCTGACACGAGTCCTTCTCATGTTTACCATTATAAATGCACACACTGTTGTCTGTGTATAGCAGTGGGGACTGAACAACTGCAGGTGACTGTGATTGCCTGCTTGACTGCTGGGACCTGAACCTAGGGAGTTCTCTTAGCACTGAGCCGTCTCTCCAGTCTGAGACAGGGTTTCTCTGTGTAACCTTGGCTGTCCTGAAACTTACTCTGTAGACCAGGCTGGACTCGAACTTAAAGACCTACTTACCTCTGTCTCCTGAGTACTGGGATTAAAGGCGTGTGCAACTACTGCCTAGCGTATTTTATTATAATTTTTTTAATAGCAGAATAAGCACGATTTGTTAGAGCTCTTTTGATCATAGTGTGGTGTTTCTGATGCTATGATAAAACACTGAGCAGAAACAGCTTGAGGGAGGGTACAGTCCGTCATCTAGGGAATCCTCAGAGGAACGCTGCCCACTGGCTTGATCTCCATGGCTTACTTAGCTTCCTTGCTTATAACCCAGGACCACCTGCCCGGGTGCCACTGCCCACAGTGGGCTGAGCCCTCCCACGTCTGTTATTTGAATAAGCAAATCCATTTTCATTTCACACTCAGGAAGGCTGCCTGGGAGTAGAAATGGCACAAGGGTGTCTCAGTGGGCTGCTGGCTGTACAGAGGGCACAGGTAGGGGTCATCACTCTACTGCTTGGTTTTTATCAACTGGGTGCAAGCTAGAGTCACCTGGGAGCTCCAGGAGGGACTTCTCAACTGATAAAATGCCTGCGCACTCTGGCCCCTGGGCCATTGTTTTGACTACTGATGTGTTTGTTTATCCAGAGTCTCCAGCTTCTACATCCATGTCAGTGTCTTGCAGCTGCTTTCAGACACTGATCTTCTTTGACTTGTGGCAGAAATGAACATACAGATATTATTCTACAGAATGACGGAACCTTATTTGCATGCCCATTAGTATGAGTTTCTAAGGAGGCACCTTTCTTGCCACAGACCAAATAAACTCTCCTGGCTGACTTCTTCTTGTCATGCTCAGGGACTCTTTCATCGATTTCCCTGTTGCTGCCCCATGTCTTCTTCAGGTGCCAGCTTCCTCCATGATGTGCAGCAAGGGATACAAGAGCTCTCCCCTCTGCCGCCTTGACTTGCTGATGGGCTTTAGTCATGGGGGTCCTAGGAGACGACAGGTATCAGAGAAAACATTCGGGTCTGGAGATGAACCTTCAGAGAGGCGTACTGTGGGTGCTCCTCTGTGAGCATCCGAGCCTGTAGACGGTGCCCTGCTTGGCCCCCTAGCTGTCTTCCCGACCTTTCCCTCCTGTCCTCTCAGCTTTTCGTCCTTTCTCTGAACACCTCTCCTTTGTCCTTATTTCTGGGTCATCTGCCTCCACCCATACTATTCCTTGTTCCCCAGGTGTTTAGGCTCCTTGCAGCTCTCGGGCTCCAGGCTCACTACAGATACCATGTGGTAGGTTAAAAGGCACTGTGGTTTGGTGATTAACAGGGCAGTGCTGGCTACGCATCAGATGGGAAGCTGTCATTGCAGGTCTGTGGGCAACATCTGGGCAGCTGATAAAGGCCTTCTTGGTGTGATAGGGCTATCTCAGCAGCCCTTCATTTGGTCTGGAGTGCTTAGACCTGCTGGAGTACCTATAGCTTTCTCAACCAGCAGAATTGGTTTGTCTGTAGCAAAGGCTATCATGGCTTGGTTTTTCTGAGTATAAATTGGGGGTGATAGTAAGTTCTTCTTAAAGGGCCTTATAGTTGGAAAGGGTAGGGAAGTCCAGGGCCCCAAGAGGTTGATTGTGTTCTCATTGGAACTGTAGAGAATGGGGTTGGAGTTAGGGTGCTGACCTCGTGCACGATGAAGGTCAGTTGCCCCTGGGACTCTCTGTAGGCTGGGTCAGTCCAGTGGTGCTCAGGCTGAAGGGTGGGGATTGGGGTCAAAGTCCTGTAGGAGGCTTTCCTGTGCTGGGTCCTACATTCCTGGTTCAGCTCAGCCAGGCTTGAAGCCCAGATCTGGAGTAAATCAACGAAATTATCTCTATTTGACATTCCAGAGAGGCTCTAGGAAGGATTTGTGAAATAGGGCAGGAGCTGCCTTCCTCAGCCTCGTTTTGGCCTGGGTGTGATGTTTTGGCCATTTGGAGAATGGTTAGACTGGCTATCAAGTCTTAGTAGGTTTGCTGTCTTCGTGACTCTGGCAGGCTAGGAAGAGGAACCACGCCTTAGGTTCAGCTGGGTCAGCCAAGGCTCAGCTAGGCAGGAGGTGGCTTTCCTCTTAGAACTTCAGAAGAGCCCACTGGCTTTCAGCTGACCTGTTCCCTTTGAGGCCGGCTTCTGGAGGAAAGCCAGATAGACAGCTCCTGGCATCAGGGGACTGAAAGCTTAGAACTCAGCCTGCTGGGAGTTGAGCTAGAACGCCGTTGGAGTGTGAACTGTGTCGGGGGACGATATGTGTGGTAGGCCTGGGCTCACTGGGGTCCCCTGGGTCCCTTGTAGTCCCATCCCCTTCATGCAGTCTGTCCTCAGGCACGTTCCAGAAAGGTCAGGAAGGTGGGTTCACAGAAGTTGGGGAAGACAGCCTTCTGGACAGTTTGGAGCTGCTGAGCTATACTTATCTTCCCTCTGCAGCCAGAGCACTGTTTGCAGATGTGCATTAGATGCGACAACCAAAAGCCAGCATGTTTTCTACTTGACAAGTGGCTGCTGTCCTTGGGTTGTCTTCTTGTCCTTAGGACAAGGGCATCAGGATAGCTTTCCTTTTGTCTAGTGATGGGGGCAGGGAGAGATCTCTTAGTTCCTCTTCCCCGTGGGTGCTGGTGTCCCCATGACTTCAGCTGAGTGCCACTCAGGATGGCAGAAATACTGACTGGCCTGAACTGGCTTCGTGATGGGAGCAGAGCAGATGCCAGGCCACAAGGGACTCGGAGCAGAGTCTGTTAAGCCTTTATGCTATCCCTGGAGAGCCAGGGAAGAACCCTTGCCCAGCCCAGCCAGGACTCTGAACTTGGCCCCGGGGTGGCAATCCTCTTGGTTCTGTTGTACTGTTTAGCATGCACGGCCTTTCTGGAAAGGATGGATAGGGTCCTGAGATAGTCCTTGTCCTCCTCTTCCCTAAGTATATGAGGAGGAATAGGGCCAAGCAAGCCCCAGGACATATTGTTGACTCTCAGTGTGCTGTGGGCAGAAGGTGGGTCCCACACAGAACTCGTCTGGTGCTCTGCTTCTCCCCATGAGCTGACCTTGGTGTGTTTCCTTATTCATATTTACTCCTCAGGTGTGTGTGACGGCTGGAAGGGGAGACTCCCCTGAGAAAGTATTGGCAAGCTTCCTGTCTTCTAACTACCTAGAGATTGTCACCCTTGGACACTGGAAGCTGGAACCCCAGGACTGACCATACACTCTGGCCTTTGCTGTCGTACCTCCTGAGACCTAGCTGTGCTGGCTGGACACCAGCCAGAGGACTGAGGGCAGCCAGCATGGAAGAAGAGCAGAGGCTCCCGGGGGCTGCCAGGGGCTTGCTGCTGATTGGCCCTGCCTTCCATTCTCCTAGGCAGGGTGCCAGAAAGCTGGAACTTTGTTATCTGGGTAATTAGCTTCAGACCCTGGACTGAGGCCGGCCAGGTCTTAGGGCTACTTCCCACAGGCTGTGCACCCTGACCCCAAGAGGGAGGCGAGGCACTGTATACAGAGGCCCTGCCAGCTGAGCAGTTAAAGTGTCAGTTCTGCTTGGGGAACAATTGCAGCCACCCCACACACACCTTCCACCCCACCCCCTACCACACTGCCCTCCCTGCCTAGGCTCTGCCCCTTAGGGCAGCTGGGCCTGGTCATAGTGTGGGGCCTTCCATTTCAGCCTTGTCAGGAACAGAGGGCACCAAGTCTTAGGAAGGGGATGCCCCCAAGGGTGCCAGTCCAGCCAGCTGCCCCACCCTTCAGGCTTGTCCTGCCCCCCCAAATCCAAATTGTGGTACCCCAATCAACCCTGTGGGCAGACATCCACCACCATGGCCGAGCACTTGGAGCTGCTGGCAGAGATGCCCATGGTAGGCAGGATGAGCACCCAGGAACGGCTGAAGCATGCCCAGAAGCGACGTGCCCAGCAGGTAAAGATGTGGGCCCAGGCTGAGAAGGAGGCCCTTGGCAAGAAGGGTCACAAGGAGCGACCACGGAAGGAGGTGTCTGACCTAAAGCCTCGGAAGCAGGTCCTCTTCCCTCCCAGCATTGCTCTTCTGGAGGCTGCTGCCCGAAACGACCTGGAGGAAGGTGAGTGTGCTTGAGTCCTAGGGCAGGGCACAGTAGGCACTCCCATCTGTCTGGGTGTGGCCCTGCTGTGTGCTGGCTCAGAACTCGTCCTAGAACTCATGTCAGTAGGTCCTGGACTCTAGCCCCAGCTCTGCTACTAACAGTCAACTGTCCTTAATAGGGGTGCATGCAGGAGGTCTTTCTCTGAGAAAACCAGATTATAGGATGGTTGGACCACAGGGTAGACACACGGGGTTGCAGAGAAATGGTACTTGGACTGATCACCATCACTACCTCATAACAGAGTGCAAGGCTTCCTGTAAATCCATTCCCTTTATGCATGGCTCCTTAGCCCCATCTCTGGAGAGTGGGGTAGCATTGCTCTCCTCTGGTTAGAGCTGGAAAGTAGGTGTTGGCCAGGTCCAGTGTGGGTCCTAGAGCACACATGGCCTGGCACTACCACACACTTCCCCAGGTCCTGCCTTTGACTTTTGTCTTCTTTAACTGGAATCTTCCTAGAATGAAGACAAGCCTAACCTTAGCAGACCTCCTTTCCTTTCTGCACCCTGTGCTTATATATAACTTCTGGGGCCTGGAGGAGGAGGCATCTGCTAGCTCCTGAGGACCCTTCCTGCCTTCCTTTTCTTGCAGTTCGCCAGTTCCTTAGTAGTGGGGTTAGCCCCAACCTGGCCAATGAGGATGGCTTGACGGCACTGCACCAGGTGAGCCCCTGCAGGAGTCGGGGTGGAGCAGGCTGGCCTCTCTGGGGGGTCAGGGCATGGGGCTTAGGTTGCTTGTTTGCAGTGCTGCATTGATGACTTCCGAGAGATGGCACAGCAGCTCCTGGAGGCTGGGGCTGATGTCAATGCTCGGGACAGTGAGTGCTGGACACCTCTGCATGCTGCAGCTACCTGCGGCCATCTGCATCTGGTGGAACTCCTCATTTCACGGTAGGACCTGCTAGGTGTCCAGGTGGTGCCTCAGGTGACCCCTCTGGAATGCTTCCTCTGTCTTTACCTCCTCTGTCAACCTTACCTGGGATCCAGGAGGAGGAGTGTGTTCACTGTGCTTTTGGCCTGCTTGGCAGGCTGGATTTCCAACTCTGAACCCAGGGACTCTCCACAGTTTGCATAGGAAAGTGCCATTTGGTCAGTGTTGAGGATGGGCTTGGTAAGGAGGGAAGTGCCAAGGTACAGCTGAGGCCTTTACCCCTAACAAGGAAGGTAGAGCAGAGGAGGCCAGTGACTTCTCTAGGAGTCAGGTGCTTCTCTAGTAGGTCCGCGTATAGAAGCTTGGTCCTCCGTGTGTGGGCAGATGAGTTTCTGTCCCACGTGTCGGTAATGGACTAGTGCTGTGTAGCTAGCTGCTTCCTTGGGCTCCTCTTGGAGCTGGTGATGGACTGCAATCTTTCTTCTGGTTCTGCTTTTCCATAATGCACAGGCACCCCTTCTGTGTTCTGGGACTCCAGAGTCCTTGCACATCTGCAAATGCCTCTACTCTATTTATGGGAGTAGATGGGTGTCATAAAACTGAAGCCTAGATGGACAGAAACTGCTAAGTCTAGCTTGAAGACAGGATCTCGGGCTGAAGGGTGGCAGCCAGCCTCAGAGGCCAACTTTTCTAGCAGGAGGAAGGAGCTTTGTTTTCTTCTTCCTTAGCACAGTCCTAGCCCGAGGGCCTCTGGTGAGTGGGGACTGAGGGCTCCTTGAGCAGGAGCTGCTGTGAAAGCAGGAAGCCAGTGGCTTGTCAATCTTCCTTGTAGTGGCGCAGAGCTCCTTGCAGTCAACACCGACGGGAACATGCCCTACGACCTGTGTGAGGATGAGCAGACACTGGATTGCCTTGAGACTGCCATGGCCAATCATGGTGTGTGTGCTGTGCCTACCCACAGAGGGTGATGTTCGAGGTCATGCCCTCTCTGAGCCAGCTTGTCCCTCAGGTATCACCCAGGACAGCATTGAGGAGGCCCGGGCAGTGCCAGAGCTGTGCATGTTGAATGACCTCCAGAGTCTACTGCGCACTGGGGCCAACCTCAATGACCCTTTGGACCATGGGGCCACGCTGGTGAGGACTCAGTCACTTGGGGGTGTCTGTCCTGGGGCAGGTAACTAGAAGGGGTGTGGGGCTGGGATTCAGGGCTGAGTGGTCTGCCTGCAGCTGCACATCGCCTCTGCTAATGGGTTCAGTGAGGTGGCTACCCTGCTGCTGGAGCAAGGAGCCAGCCTGAGCGCTAAGGATCATGATGGCTGGGAGCCTCTGCATGCCGCAGCCTACTGGGGCCAGGTGAGTGTCCACAGGAGCAGGGAGAGGGAAGGTTCCTGGCTCTAATTGGAGCCCTCAGCCAAGCAGCTACTGCTGGCTGCCTGCAGGTGCACCTGGTAGAATTGCTTGTGGCACATGGGGCTGATCTGAATGGAAAATCCTTGGTGGACGAGACACCCCTCGGTGAGTATGGTGTTGCCTACATCTGGCAGAAGGGCTAGGCCATGAAGATGCCTGTGACACCTCTTTCCATCTCTTCTCAGATGTGTGTGGGGATGAGGAGGTGAGAGCCAAATTGCTAGAGCTCAAGCATAAACAAGATGCGCTCCTGCGGGCCCAGGGCCGACAGCGCTCCCTTCTGCGCCGGCGCACCTCTAGTGCAGGCAGCCGTGGGTAAGCTTCCTGCTGCAGGTCACTGTCTACCTGCTGAGACCTAGACTCTGCCCCATGCATGTCAGCTGGCAGCAGAACCCCAGTAGGCTCTCTGTGGGCAGAGATTGTGAACTGGATGACGAGATCTCAACTTCCTTCCTCCCCAGAAAAGTGGTGAGGCGGGTGAGCCTGACGCATCGCACCAACTTGTATCGCAAGGAGCATGCGCAGGAGGCCATCGTGTGGCAACAGTCACCACTCACCAGTCCAGAGCCGCTGGAGGATGAGGACAGACAGACAGATGCTGAGCTCCGGCTGCAGCCCCCAGAGGTGAGGATGCAGCCTCTGTCCTGTCCCAGATGTGGGGCAGACTTGGCATGCAATCTTGTTATTTAGTACTTAGTCCTCTATCCTTGCTAGCCCCCGATGGAGGTGATGGGCACAGTGACCCTGTTTCCCTAGTTGGGCTAGGCAGCCGTGGGTAAGCTGCAGGTCACCATCTACCTGCTGAGACCTAGGCTCTCCTAGGTATAGGCCTCGGACCTTCCCACTCTCATGTCTGTCCATCTGCCACTTTCACACAACTGAAGCCCAAGGCTGGGTGGGATAGGTGAGAAAAAGCACCTCCTGATGGCCTCTGGGGTCCTTGCTCTGCCCACAGGAAGACAGCTCTGAGGTGGCCAGACCACACAATGGCCAAGTAGGGGCCCCGCAAGGGAAGCACCTGTACTCGAAGCGTCTAGACCGGAGTGTCTCCTACCAGTTTAGTCCTGCGGAGAGCAGCGCCCCTGATGCCCTCGTCCGAGACAAAGCGCACCACACACTGGCAGAACTTAAACGCCAGCGCGCAGCTGCGAAGCTGCAGCGACCTGCCCCCGAAGGGCCCGAGACCTTTGAGTCTGACCTGTCTGTTGACACTGAGACTCCCCAGCTGGACTGTGGCTTCAGAATAACTGGGGACCCACCTCTGCTCAAGCTCACTGCCCCCTCGGAGGAGGCTCCTGTGGAGAAGAGGCCATGCTGTTTGCTCATGTGAAATGTGACTCCTCAGTATGGCAGGGTTCAACCCCATGCCCAGCCAGAGGCTTCCTCATGATCTCTGGCCTGGTGGCCCACTCCAGCACATGCCCCAGTGCTGTAGGGGAGCCAGCTCAGAGCCCTGTACCCCCTTTCAGCCCAGGACACTGGCCACCTTGCTCAGGGATGGACTATGCAGAGCTAGCTGTACCTGTGGGCCTCAGGCCACAGGCTGCTTATCCTGTGACTCTTGATAAAGGCTGTTTGCCACTGAGCCTCCCCGTGTGTCTCGCTGGGGAAGGGGCAGGGAGTGCTGCTGGGTTAGGAGCCACCCATGCCCAGGAGTGCTCAAACCTGTAGATGCATGCTGGGGTTTGCAGGTGGCAACCCCAGCTCTTGTGGGAGGGAAGCTCAAGGCCGCAGGCAAGAAGCCCTGCCTTTACCTCCACCTCTCCTGGCTGGTTCAGCTTCTTGGAGGCTCCTCTGTAACCCTTTGCTTTCCTGAAGGCAGCAGGAGACTTTGGAAGAAGATTCTCCATGGAAGTGCAGAGGGTAACCATGCAGAGGGACAGGGACCCTGGCTAGAAGGGATACTGTATTTTCTACAGGATTGGGCCAGAGCCAGCAGGGTAGAACAGGCAGAAGGCTTGCTGTAGGTACTTCCCAGAGTCATGGTCTCAGTTCCTGGCATGCAGCCCTCATCCTGGGGCATATCTGCCAGCTTCCGCCTGTGCTGGTATAGGTGACAAGCACTTGGCCACTCAGGCTGTGCTGGCTAGGCACAAAGCTTCAGAACGAGAGGGGCCCTTTAGGGGCCTCAAGCTGGAGGGAAGAAGGCAATTCTAGATCATGTCCCATAACATTTGGTTTGCATGGTCATCCCTACCAGGTGACATAAGTACTGACCAGGCCAGCTTCGTGTCCTTCCCTGGGGCCTGTCCTTCTTCTAGCACCTGTGGTTGGAGGGTTAGTGTCCTTGGACAGGCTTGGGGGAGGGCTGGTGGCTGCTGGTTAAATTTAGAGTAGCACTGTGTGCTGCCTGAAGTCCACCTGCTACCGCTGCTGCTGCTCAGCCCTGCTGGTAGGAGGCAGGCAGGGGCAGGCTCTGCCTGGGCCAAGCCTATATTAATCTGTGCTTTGGCCTAAGGGCCAGAAAGAGGCCAGTGAGAGTAGGCCACCGTGTTATCAGGGCCAAGAGATCAGAGGTGAGTGCCTCTGCACAGGGCCTCAAATAGTGTTTCTTCTAGCCTGCAGGGACAGAGGGATCAAGGCTCACCTCAGGCTTTCCTAGCTGCCTGCTGTCCAGCTGAGAAGTCAGGCCCTCAGCCTGAGCCATAGATGGGTCCAGGGGCTTAGATATTCAGTGTTGAGCTTGACCTATAAGGCCAGTGGGAGTGGGGCTCTATGGGCCTATCAGAGCTCACTTCCTGTTCTCTACCAATCAGGAGCAAGAAGGAAGGGGACTTAGTTACCCTTGGCCTGGGTTGTGGCCCTAAGGGCAACCTCAGGCTGATGTGTATAGAAAGGGCATGAGGGCAGCCCAGGGTGAGGCGTCCAGGACGAGGTGTCCTGTCTCCAGGCTCTTCCCCTCCCCCCAAACCCTTGCAGCGCTCATCAGGGACCAAGGTCCAACTGTAACACTGACAGTCCCCATGGAACCCAGAGACTGGACACCTCCCTTTCCTCCCTCCGTGCTCCCCAGATATAGGGAGCCTGGCATAGGTACCCAGGAGAAGGAGATATGTCTACTTGCTTAAGTAAAGATGGTGTGTGTGTGTCAGGTCGGAGAGGGCTAGGCCTCAGCTGGCCCTTGCTAGGGTCAGGCTCCAGTAGTCCCTGGCTCTGTTCTTAATAGATCCAGTTGTTGAATACTCTCTTCCCCTCATTTCCAGTGTGTCAGATCTTGAGCCATCCGTCTGTCCCTACTCCCCAAGTGGGTCTCCTGCTCTCTCACTGGGACATTAGGCGGCACTGGGCCTCGCCCCAAGCCCCGCCTGCCGCCTTACCACCTCCCTCTGGCTCCCTGGGGCAGATCTGTGCCCAGACTGGTGGGGCGGGGCCCAGGGTGCTGCAGCTCCTTCAGTCCTTTCTGCCCCTTTCGGTAGGACCAGAAGGCTGTGGTGCAGAGGGTGGTGTCTTACCTCAGCAGACTTCCCCATTCCCAGCCCTGAGTCCACATCTGGACCCTTCTACTTCCTGAGCCAGTATCCTGCCTGGTCTGAGCAGTCATGGCCTCAAGAGTGAATGATCAAAGCCAGGCTTCAAGGAATGGACTGAAAGGGAAGGTGCTAACTCTGGATACCATGAACCCATGTGTGCGGAGGGTGGAGTATGCCGTTCGAGGACCCATAGTGCATCGCGCCTTGGAGCTGGAGCAGGAGTTGCGTCAGGTATTGCCTTGGGCACTCGCTGCCCTTCTGCTAAACTTGGGTTGGTGAATTAGTCCCCAGTCCAGGGAATGTGGGACAACAGCGGCAGAATAACTGTCAGATCTCACTGCCTGCTCTCCTTTCCCAGGGTGTGAAGAAGCCCTTTACTGAAGTCATCCGTGCCAATATTGGTGATGCACAGGCCATGGGGCAAAGACCCATTACCTTCTTCCGCCAGGTTAGGCTGCTGTACTGCCTGTGGCACACCCCCCCCCCCCTCCCAAACTGCCCTGGCCTCATTATTTGGTTCTCCCAGGTCCTGGCCCTTTGTGTCTACCCCAAACTTCTGAGCAGTCCCGACTTCCCAGAAGATGTCAAGAGAAGGGCAGAACGCATCTTGCAGGCATGCGGGGGCCAGAGCCTGGGTAAGTGCTTGCTCCCGGTGGAGTCCAAGCCTTAGGGAGGGGCAGAGAGAGATAGGTCCCTTGGGAAGCTTGCAGGACTTGCCCCCCTCACTAGCTTGGCCTCTTTCAGGTGCCTATACCATTAGCTCTGGCATCCAGCTGATCCGGGAAGATGTGGCACAGTACATTGAGAGGCGAGATGGAGGCATCCCTGCAGACCCAAACAACATATTTCTGTCCACTGGGGCCAGCGACGCCATTGTGGTAGAGTGGGCCAGGCTAGAGTAGCCCTTATGTGTGAGGCTAGATCAGGCTCAGTCTGGTGCAGCAGCATCGGCTCATGGTAGGGGTGGGGGCGTGCAACCCCGATTGCACTAACACTGTGCTTCCTATCCCACCCACAGACAGTGCTCAAGCTGCTGGTGGCCGGTGACGGCCGTGCGCGCACAGGTGTGCTCATTCCCATTCCTCAGTACCCGCTGTATTCGGCTGCTCTGGCTGAGCTGGACGCCGTGCAGGTGGACTACTACCTGGACGAAGAGCGTGCCTGGTCTCTAGACATCGCGGAGCTACGGCGCGCTCTGTGCCAGGCACGTGACCGCTGCTGCCCTCGCGTTCTGTGCGTCATCAACCCTGGCAACCCGACTGGTACGCCTCCTATCTGCTCCTCCCCATCTAGCTCCGCCTCACTGGACTCCTCCTACCAGCCCCGCCTCTTCCTTTGGGACCTGCCCCAGCTCTCCTGATCCCAGAGCGCCTGGGTTGAGCTTGGTTCTCTGTTGCCCGGGACTGACCCTGTCAGTGCTGCATCTCCACACTCCAGGACAGGTGCAGACCCGTGAATGCATAGAGGCTGTGATCCGCTTTGCTTTCGAAGAGGGACTCTTCCTGATGGCTGATGAGGTACAGACGACTGGGAGTCGGGGGAGACATGGCAGTGGGCAGCAGCAGCTCAGCAGCCAGCCTGAATGACACTGCTGCCCCTCCAGGTATACCAGGACAACGTGTACGCCGAGGGCTCTCAGTTCCATTCTTTCAAGAAGGTGCTCACGGAGATGGGGCCGCCGTACGCAACACAGCAGGAGCTTGCCTCCTTCCACTCGGTCTCGAAGGGCTACATGGGCGAGTGCGTTCAGGCGCAGAGGGTGGTAGTGGTGAAACCCGAACTAGTAGAGAACTTTCCGGACCACTGTCATGGCTCAACAGTTCCAGACCCTCTTCCCAGACCAGCCTCAACCCATGCTCTCCCCTGCAGGTGCGGGTTCCGTGGTGGCTATGTGGAAGTGGTAAACATGGATGCGGAGGTTCAGAAACAGATGGCCAAACTGATGAGTGTACGGCTGTGCCCACCCGTGCCGGGCCAGGCCCTGCTGGACATGGTGGTCAGTCCGCCGGCACCCTCTGAGCCGTCCTTCAAGCAGTTTCAAGCAGTGAGCAGACCAGACCAGGCCAAAGATGTCTGGTGACCCAGCTTTGGGTGGGACTACAGGGGGACACAACGAAACCCTCTTCCATAATTCCCTCCTGTGGCTGCAGGAGAGGCAGGAGGTGCTGGCTGAGCTGGCAGCCAAGGCTAAACTCACCGAGCAGGTCTTCAACGAGGCCCCCGGGATCCGCTGCAACCCAGTGCAGGGCGCAATGTACTCTTTCCCTCGAGTGCAGCTGCCCCCGCGGGCAGTGCAGCGTGCTCAGGTGCAGAAAGCAGGGTCACAAGGGGGCGGAGCAGGGTGTTGACCTGGGTGCTGTGACCTGACCACTCTCCTGATCCCCAGGAACTGGGCCTGGCCCCTGACATGTTCTTCTGCCTGCGCCTCCTGGAGGAGACTGGCATCTGTGTGGTCCCTGGAAGTGGCTTTGGGCAACAGGAAGGCACTTATCACTTCCGGTGAGACCTGGTATGTGTTGACCTCGCCACGAATGGGCCTGTGCCCCAGGCTTACTGTTTGTCCTTTTCAGGATGACCATTCTGCCCCCCATTGAGAAGCTGCGGCTGCTGTTGGAAAAACTGAGGCATTTCCATGCTAAGTTCACCAAGGAGTACTCCTAGATCACATTGGACGGCCTGTGACTGAACCGAGGGTCCTTGGGAGCCTTCAGTATTTGCTGTTTTTGCCTAGGGTCTGGGTACCTGTCCCTGCAGGTCCCTAATAAAGCTGGGTGTCAGCCTGACTTGAAGTGGCTGCCTGGGTGACTCCAGCTTTTGATTTAATTGATTGACTTTGCATAGTCAAATGGACCCTGCTTAAGGAACACCAGACACCTCATATAAAGGCGCTGTTAAGGACGGCTCCCAGGAAAGGGCCCCTCGGGCTGTTATTCATCCACTTGTCTTAAGAGAGTACGCATCTGTGGCTAGGTCTTCATTATGGTCTTAAATGTGGGGCATGTGGTGACCCCTTCAAATCAACTAACGTACTAGTGAAGTGTGTGAAGGCAAATGTGGGTCACATCCGCCTTTTAGGGCTAGCCCAGGGCCACTTGGGAGGGGGATGAAGTTACAGAGAATTCCAGGGGAAAGTGGTCTTAGAGGCAGTGTCATAAATAGTAACTTTCCCCTGGGCTACACAACTTGCCGTGCCAACCACAGGGTGGAGCTGTTAAACTGAGTTACACCAAAGTGGGAGAGACAGCAAGGGCTTGAGAAGACTTGTGGGGGGGAGCAGAGCAGGGGAGGACCTTTAGCAAACCACCTCTAGGCACCCTTGGGGTGCTAAAGGATTAGGTGCACTCTCCTGAGGGTGGAGACTTAGGAAGGAAGGATGCGCCCCTGTGCACAGCAGGTACTGGTGGGGTGCACTGGTTGGGTCTTCAGTAGTCCTCTGAGGTAGGCAAGAGCTGTCCTTCCTCCCCTCAATGCTACTAGGATTGAATTCAGGACCATGGAACTATATCCTGCCTGCCACCCTTTCTCAATTTTAAGGCATGGTCTTGCTTGCTAAATTAATCCAAGTCAACCTTAAACACATGATGCTCCTGCCTCAGCCTGAATAGCTGAGATTACAGGTGTTCACAACCATGTTCTGAAGTAGAACACACTTTATAGATGTGAAAACCTGGGCCCTGAGACTATCTGGAAGTTATAGGACAGCAAGCCAATGTTGGGATGCTCAGACCTAGACACAGGGTCATGTGTCGAAATGGGCACAACAGCACCACCCAGTTGTCCACTATGGAGCTAGTTCTTAACCCAAGGTGTCATCTAACAGCCTTATGGTGGCCTTGGGAGTAGCACAGTTCTGGGAAGAGGGAAGGGATTGGGCATGGGCCTTCCTTGCAGGGCCAGAATCATGTGGGCTGGACTGGCTACCCTCACTGAACACTAAGGGAAGGGGTTATCATGGGCAGTAGCTGACTGGGTCCTGACCTTTCCCACAAAACACTAGCTTTTGAGGTCACTGCCTTGACAGGCTCTGAAGCCACAGTCATAGCAAGGTATGGGGAGCGGCACCAGAAGCACCATGGAGCAGAGTACTGCCACCTCCGTGGGAGTTGAGGATTAGAAATGCATCTCCTCCACGGGAGCCCAGGATTAGAAATGCCTAGGCCTTTAATCCCAGCATCCAGGAGGCAGACAGATCTCTGAGTTTGAGGCCAGACTGGGTTACAGAGTTCCAGGACAACAGAGCTATACAGAGAGACATTGTCTCGAAAAAAACAAAACAAGAAGAGCTTCTGAAAGAATCTAGTAACCATTGAGCACAATGTAAGATACCTTTGAGACCAGCCTGTACCACAGCTTCCTTCCCAGCCGCTTGCAGGGTCTGGGAACACGGGAAGCAGGCTGCTGTGTCCAGGTTTGTCACCAGGGGCGCCAGAGCAGACGTTCTCGGTCTGCGAAGGTTATCTGTAGCCTGCTTGACGTTAGCCGCTAGAGTTTTTGGCCAATTGTGGATTAGACTGCAGAATGACTTGGGAATTGGCTCCGCCCTCAGTCAAACGAGTCCTGCCTCCCTTGCCCGACCCCTGCGCAAGGCATGCTGGTAGTCATGGGCTGTGCGCAGGCCCACCGAGCTCAGGTTTATTCCCGTATTTTCTCCCAACTTCGGTACTTCCGGTATATCGGGGCCCCAGTGTGAGCTTCGGGATCTTGGCCTGATAGTCCCTGAGCCTATGTAGATGGACTAGACCCTGGCCTTCCCAGCTGAGCCGTCTGATTCCACCCCGAGCTGGACATGCACGGGAAGCTGCTGCTGCTGGCCGGCCTCTATCTTGTGCAGGGTCTGCCCTACGGACTGCAGTCCAGCTTGCTGCCCATTTTACTGCGGACCCATGGCCTCTCCCTGACACGTGTGGGCCTGACTAAGGGATTGTATGCGCCATGGCTGTTCAAACTGGCGTGGGCGCCACTGGTGGACAGGCGGGGCTCCCCTCGGGTCTGGTTAACACTCAGCACCGTGTCCCTGGGCCTAGTGTGTGGGCTCCTGACCGTGTTTCCTCCTCCGCAAGCTGGCCAGACAGGGCTCCCCACCATCATGATGGGGCTGCTACTGCTGCTGAATCTGGGTGCAGCAGTGCAGGATGTAGCTCTAGACACGGTCGCTGTGCAACTCCTGGAGCCAAAGGAGCTGGGGCCTGGAAACACTGTACAGGTGGTGGCTTACAAGCTGGGATCAGCACTGGCTGGGGGCAGGCTGTTGGTCCTCTTCCCCACTCTCTCTTGGCCACTGCTTTTTCTGCTCCTAGCTGCCACCTACTGGCTGGCTGCTGCTTTAGCCTGGGCTGCACCAGCCTTGGGACAGCTGCCTAGGCCTCAGGTCTCAGAGCATACCCCCACCACATCCTATTTTCTACAAGATTTGCTGGCTGTGCCTGGGACCCTCTGGACAGCAGGCTTTGTTCTCACCTACAAGCTAGGTACGTCTTTGAGTTAGGCAATGCCAAGCTCTGAGCCCTAACTTCCCTAGGGCCCTGAAACCCACTTAGCTCTCAGCCCAGCCCTCCCCAGAGCTCTGTAGTTCAGTCTTCTCTCAGCTTCAGCCACAGCCCACCGGTGTCACCGATAGCGCTTCAAATTAGCTGGGCTTCAGGGCCCAGCTTTTTCTAACACCTGGGAACCATAAAATTGAAGGGGGGCAGAGGCCTGGCTGGTTGGAGGACTGAGGCTCAAGAAGGGAGAAAGGAGAAGGGGACCATCCTTGTTTATGATCTCCTGTAGGTGAGCAGGGTGCTGGCAGCCTGTTTCCTCTTCTCCTGTTGGACCATGGTGTTTCTGCCTCAGACTTGGGGCTATGGAGTGGCTTGGGCGCTATGACCTGCTCCATTGCTGGCTCCTCTCTGGGGGGGGCTCTACTGGCCAGGCACTGGTAAGCACTCCCCAACCCTAATGTGACCCTTATCTCCACCCATCTCCCAGGGAATCTTACCATATTCAGTCTCCCAATTCCCACCCCAGGCAGCCTCTCTCCCTGTTGAGGTCAGTGCTGCAGCTACGCCTTGGGAGTTTGGCCTGTCAGACTGTTCTGCTTTTCTACCTCAGTACCCCTGGGGCCAGTCTGGAGCCTGGTACAATCATGAGAGGTGAGAGGTCAGCCTTGACGAGGGAGGGAGCAAGAGCCGGGGGCCCCACTGACCTTTCTTCTTCTAGGGGCAGCATTGCTGAGCCTGTGTCTACAGCAATTTCTGGGCGGTGTGGTCACCACGGCCACATTCACCGTGATGATGCACTGCAGCCAGATGGCACCCAGAGCCCGGCAGGTAAGAGGGCAGGGCAGGGATGCCCGGGGGCTGCAGGGCTAGGGAGCCACTAGGTCCTGATCTGTATTCCCACCCCCAGGCCACACACTATAGCCTCCTGGCCACTTTGGAACTGCTGGGCAAGCTGCTACCGGGTACCCTAGCTGGAGTGCTGGCTGATGGCCTGGGCCCACGCCTCTGCTTTGCTGCCTTCCTCGTACTCTCAGGTCTGCCCATTCTGGATCTCAGTCTGGCACCCAGTAACCTGACCTGAACTGCCATGTATGGCCTGGATGTCTGGAACACATGAGATGTAGCTGTCCTCAAACTGAGGACTGTGTTGCCAGAAAGGACATAAAATTGCTTTTTATTTTGCACTTTGGTTTTGCCTAACGGTCAGTGATGGCTACATCATTGCCTCGATAGCACATGAACCTGACACCCTCGGTGTAGTGGCCACAGTCTGGCTTGCCTCACGCCTCCACCATATAGCGCTCTCCCATGGAGGCGGTCATCGGCTGCTCAGCAGGAGCTCTTCTGTAGCCAAGCGCATCAGGGCATGGAAATCCAGATGTAGATACTTTCTCCAGAAACGCCGGTCCTGCCCATACACCTGGGCTGGGTAGCAGGGACTTGCTATGATGGAGCAGAAACGTAGGACTGAGGACTCAGCCGGCTCTAGTGCCCAACTCCTCCCTAATTAAAGCAGCCCCGTGGCCCTCACCAATGCCATGGAAGATGCGGGCCACAGCCCGTCCTGAAAACCTTTCCTCTGGCCGCAGGGAAAGGAGCTGACGGATATCACGGCGAATATGATCCTCCCAGTCCTGAAGCTGTGGGGAGATGGCATGTGACCTTCCCTGCACCCCACAGCATCTGTCACATAAAATCACACCCCAAGCAGCCCAAGAAACCTTGAGCCAGGCAGGGGTTGGACTGTGGGGTTGGGTTGTACGTGGGCATGTCATTATCCTTGGCTTTAGGAATCACCCGTCTTCAAAGGGGTGTGGCACTTACCTGGTTCTGCCCAGGCTCTGGACCCTGCTCATCCTTCACAGTTTCCTCTTCCTCAAAGTAGTGGCTGAGCAACGTCTTCAACCGGCTGCTGCGCTCCTCATCCGACTGCTCTAGGCAGGGTCCACAGCTGGGAAAGGCCACACTGGGGATGAGACAAACCTGTCAAGAGTGCCCCTGGGGTCGGAGTGGGTGGCCTGGGCTCTGCCTACCTTCTTCCCACCTGCGAAAGGTCTTAGATATCTGGTGTAGATGGGCCAGGGCCTTGTGTTCACGAGCCTGGACTCGGCTGTACAGGAAGTCGCAGATCTGGTCCTTGTCCTCATCTGTCAGGTCACCAGGACTGTGCAGGTGAAAGGCCAACTCGCTGAACTCCACAAGCACCCCTGTGCCCCGTGGTGCACCTGTCAGCAAGTGTGTCAGTCAGAGGCGGCGGGGGCCAGCACAGCTAGACTGAGGGAGGGCTGGGCATACCTTTCTTTGGTTCTTGGTCCCACTGCAGCTGGTAGAGAGCCTGGCGCACAGAGGCCAGCTCCCAGCCCATCGAGTCTGCCAGCTCCACTATGTCAAACTCTAAGGAGCTGCTACCCTGACTTGTGTCTTTAGGTGGCCACTTGGCCCAGCATGCAGCCAAAGGGGGACACCTGTGCCCAGGAGACAAAGGAGTATGTGGTCAGCAGCTCCAGATCTTTGTCTTCATCCTTAGCCTGAGGTGAGATATGCTTACCTGTGGGCCAGAGCTTGCAGCTGGGCACGGCCCCCAGGGCAGTGCAGACGGCAGTGGGCATAGGTATAAGGCAGCAGCTCCAGCCAATGCCGAGGGTGTAGTTCCAGATAGCACAGCAGAGTCTCAATAGCTAGAGGCAAAGGAAGGCTCAGAGGCTGTTGATAGTACCCCATATCTCCCTGTACCCCATATCTTCTTGGCTCCTTACCCTCCTCTGTCATGTCCAGAGCCTGTACTGTAGACTGCACTGGGAGTGCCCGCTTATGGCCTTGGCAGGCTGGACCCAATACAGGGTCTGTTTGTTGGCCGTTGTGCCTCCGGGTGCATGTACAGGGTGGGAAGACACGCTGCACCAGCTTCTTCACAGCCAGGAAGTCAGTGCCATCAGCATGGGCGTGTCTGCGCAGTTCCCAAAGGTCTTCGCCCTGCATTGAGACAGTCATATGCATACACTTTGGAGCTAGAGTGGCAGCGGCAAGAAAAATAGGATTGCAGTTGGGACCAAAGTGGCATGGCATAGGAACAGCGTAACTCCTGGGGAGATGGGGTGCCAACCTGCGGCTGCAGGAACAGGTGACAATGGGCGGGCTTCCCATCACGTCCTGCACGACCAATGGCTTGCACATAGCTCTCGAAGTTTGGAGGCAGTCCCAAGTGTAGTACAGCCCGAACATCTGGCCGGTCCAGCCCCATCCCAAAGGCTACTGTGGCCACTACCACCCGCAGGTGGCCCTGCATGAAGGCCTGCTGCACTCGTCGCCGTTCCTGGCTGCCCATGCCAGCATGGTATGCTTCAGCTACAGCCTCAAGGCCGCAACCTTAGAGAAAGTGTACAAATGGTTGATGGGACCGAGCCGGCATGCAGAAGGAAGGGTCCCTGGGGAACAAACCCTAAACATGCCTACCTCCGGGCCTTGGATCTCTCACCATGGACAGGCAGGTCCGGAGGAGTGCAGCCACCCGTTCTGTATCCTTTTGTCGATGGCAGTAAATGATAATAGAACCCAGGGCACGAAAACGGTCACCCTGCAGCAGTGTCACCAGAGCCTGGCAATAAAGCGCGATTAACATGGCAGGTCGTGGGCTTCTGCTGGGCCCTTGGCATACACATAACTACCTGGTCTGAATCTCTGTCCATGGACACGGAGAGGTGCAGATTGGCAGGGATGGAGGCCAACCCACTGAGCGCAAGCTCTTCCGCTATGCCCAGGTGCTGGGCCACGTCGCGTGCAGTGCTCCGTGTGGCCGTGGCTGTGAGACCCAGAAAGCAGCGCACACCCATACGCTCCCGAAGGACCTGAACCAGGGACAGTGTTGAGTCACTTGTCCCACCTGGGTCCTAGTCCACCTCCATCCTGACCCCAACAAAAGCTCACTTTGCAAACACGCAGGTAGGAGGGCCGGAAGTTGTGTGACCACTGAGAGAGGCAGTGGACCTCATCAATGCAGGCGAAGGCAACTGGAGGTAGCTGAGAGGCATCAGGGAGGCTGGCAGGGCCCTTAGCCCCACACCTGACCAAGGCCTCGGGGGACACAATCAGCACATGCACCTGGGCTGCCTTTACCTGAAGGGAAGAGGGTTATGGACACTGCCCAGAGGGATGCCCACTACCACCCATCCATGGGGCCCTCCTGACCTTTTTCAAGACAGATTCTCGCTGTTTCTTGGTCATACCTGAGTGGAGGCAGGCTGCCTTCAGACATGGAGGCAGGTCAGACACCTGTAAATCCAATGCTGTCATAGCCCAGCCCAGCTCAGTCTGTGCCCCTACTCAACCCACTGGAAGGAAAAGTATCAGATCCTGGGTCCTGGGAGAAAATGCTCAGAGCTGGCCACCTATGGACCTGTGCACCCTGGAGATAAGGAACCAGGTGAGAACATTGGGCACTAGGCTGTGCTACCCTTAGGAAGGTCGGCTGGCCACTGGTGTGTTCAGGAAACAAGAAGAATCCAATGGTATCAGAGGTGTCAGTTTGCAGACTTTCTAGGTACTAAGCCTGTCCATATACCTGGTCATCCATGAGTGACAGGAGAGGAGAGACCACCAGTGTGAGGCAGGGGCTTCGCTGGGCATACAGCAGTGCAGGAAGCTGGTAACACAGAGACTTGCCAGCACCCGTGGGTAACACCAACAGAGTGGAGATACCTAGGCAGGACAAGAGGCAGCTATAAGGCTCAATTTGCCAGACATAGCTTGGTGCAATTCCTAGGCAGTCACACCTACCAGAAAGAATCCTCATGACTGCACGTTCTTGACCAGGGCGGAAGGCTTGGTGCCCTAGCTGCTGTAGGGCCTGGAATACCTCAGCAGGGGTTTCTGTGGACACAGATGTGGTGGTTTGAATGAGAATGGCCCCTATAGGCCCCCATAGGCTCATGTATTTGCATGGTTAGTTCCTATCTGGTAAAACATTTGGGAAGAATTAGGAGGTGTGGCCTTGTTAGGAAAAGTGTGTCAGCCAGGCGGTGGTGGCACTCAGGAGGCAGAGGCAGGCAGATCTCTGTGAGTTCGAGGCCAGCTTGGCCTACAACAGCTAGTTCTAGGAAGGTCCCAAAGCTACAGAGAAACCTTGTCTCGAAAAAACAAAAAAACAACAACAAAAAGACAAAAACAAAAAGAAAAGAAAAAGTGTGTCATTGGGTGTTGGCTTTGAGGATTTCAACAGTCCAGGCGAGGTAAAGTGTCTCTGTCTCTCTGTCTGTCTGCTGATCAGGATGCAAAGCTCTCAGCCACTTCTCCAGCACCATGTCTGCCTTTCTGCTTCCCACCAAGATAACAGACTAAGCTGCTAAGCAAGTCCCAATTCAATACTTCCTTTTCTAAGAGTTGCCTTGGTCATGGTGTCTCTTCACAGCAATAGAACAGCGACTAAGACATGTGTCGGGAAAGACTCTGGACCATTAAGTTTCACTCACCTGCTACCTGCCCCAGGAGCCCTGGTGGGTAGAGGGGCAACGCTGGGCATGGAGGACAGGGCATCTGTAGCTTTGGCCCATCGGGTTCTCTGTCCTGACCTGCTTGGATAGGCAAGAGAGTGATGTGGGGGCACCAGAATCCACAGATCATCCAGGCCCAATGGCCTCAGGTCACATCCACCCATTCCCCTAACTTACCAGAGAGGGGACAGGAAGGAGAGGCTGTTGTCTGTGCTACTTCTTCCAAAGCAGAAACAGGCTGTTTATCTTCCCTGCCACCTTCCTCCTGGAAGGTCAGGGTGGAGCCTGGACCAGAGTTAAGAGCTGGTGGAACCTTCTGTTTGCATAAGTAATTCTCTAGCTCCCCTTCCCGATGGTTAAATGACCCAGCACTCATGGCAGAGGTTTACCTGGCTGGGAACACTGCGATGCCCAGTGCCCAGACTGCCCGCACTGGAAACAAGTGTCCTTCGCCGTGGCTCTGGGTCCACTTCCCCCAAACTGCTCCCTTTTCTTCTTCCACTTTTGCTTCCATACCTGGGGAAGCCCACAGGGACTACTCAAGAGGGAGATGGGAGGAGAGAAAAGGCCAGCCTGCTCCATTCAGCATGTCTCACCTGCTTCCGGAGAAGCCTGCCTCGACTGGCCCCAACTCGCACATAGCACTTCTGTTTCATGTTGAGTCGAACATAGTTCCCCCTGTCCAGGGAAGCTGGTCGAGGGGAGATGTGGAGGCGGGCTGTGCCCTTGGCCTTCGCGGTCTTGGCCTGCTTCGAGGAGCGGGGCTGAGAAGCATTCACCTGTGCAGGTTCTCCTGGTGGCTCTTTCTCGTGAGCTGTAGTCCTGGCTCCCTCAGATAGCTGTCCTGCTGGACTGCTGTCCCGGGCTTGTGCAAAGTCCTCAGAATCCTTACTCATTTTCCTGGCTTCATCATTGCTGGATGTGGGGCTTGGAGGCTGTAGGGCATCGGGGCTCTGTGACTTGTTTTCTGGAATACCAGGATCAAGGACATTTGTCTTGCCTGACTTCTGAGGTTGTGACTCCTTTGCATCCAGGTCAAGCCCACAGGCATCGGGAACCTCTAGAAGGTCGGAAACTCTGGCGTGACACCGCTCTAACCAGCCAGGGTCTAGGGAACTCAGCCGCAGGCTCAGGGATGCCTGAAGCTGTTGGAGCTGGCCTAGCCTTGGCCGGGGCTCAGAAAGTCGGGGAAGTACGTCATTAGTTTCATCTGGACAGGTCCTTGGGCCTGGTGGCCTTGGGGTGGTCACCGTGGACAAAGATCTCTTCTGAGGCTGGAGTTTTCGGCTCAGGGTTGGCCTAGTCTAGGTTGGGGAAGATAGAACAGCAGGTAGGATCTCAGGACCCTGGGCTTTGCAGACGTTTGGGACAGACAAGAAGCTGACAGTGAGGTTCCTGTGAGCACCTTAGGAGCCGAGTCCAACTTACTGCAGGAGCACACGTGTGTGTGCGTGAGCATGTGTGTGTGCTGTAAAGAAGGGTGGATGCAGAAGGGTCCCGGCAAACTACCCCAGAGCCAAAGGCAGTTCTGGGTTCACCTCCACTTCTTACCTGTAGCTTTGTTTTTTTCAGATTGGCTTTGAGCCTTTCCCCATAGTCTTGTACTGAACTCAATGGGCCCTGCCTGGGGACAGGCTGTGTGTTCTGGGTTGCAGCTCGATTCAGGTGGGGACCCCAGCAGCTTGGCTCCTGTGCCTGCAGTAGACAGTAGTGGACTAGACCACGTTAAAAAGTGATATGGGCACAGAAGTGCCTCCAAAGCTTCCCCTTAACCCCCACGGGAAGGCCTGGCCATCAAACTTGTGGGCTCCACGGAGGCATGGCTGTAATAGCTCTTGGCTCCAGCCGTTTGACCATACACAACCTTGACTGGGATCAAGGGCCAATATACCTCCTCAGCTGCCTCGGCGAGAGACTGCTCTAGGCTGCGCTGTCCGTCGCCAGCCTGGCGCACTGCATGCTTTAGGGTACGGTACTCACGGTAGAGCGCTGAGAAGGCAAGGGTCGGGGGTCAGGGCTCACCTACTAACCTTAGCCCCGTCCCAGGCCCGCCAGCCCAGCGCTCACCGCGGGTCTCCTCGGGTGCCGCCTCCACATCCTCCTGGGAGAGAAGCTCGTCAGCCACGGGCTGCGCCTGGGTCCCCACTCACCGCCCTGTCCGTGCCCCCAACCCCACCTCACCTGCGCTGGCCGTCTCCCGTGCAGCCGTGCGAAAGCGCGTTCCCACTCCTGCAGCCGTGCGCGAACGCTAGCGAGCCTTTCCATGGCAGTCAGATCTTGGGTCTAAGAGAATCTCCCGCCGCCGCTGGGAAGTGTCGTTCTGAGCCAATGGGAGCTGGCAGCGGGCGACGCCAGACCGGGCGGCCAATTCGCTGAGCCCTGGAGGGGCGGGCCCTGCCGTGTTACGTCATCGCGGCGCGCCACTCTGCTGCGCGGCGCTGGGCAAGGCTAGCGGAGGGGCCTTGGTGGTGGGGGCGGATGGGTGGATGAATTGGGGCCGCTGGACTGGGATCCGAGCCCGGCGAAGAGACGGCAGCTGTAAGGGTCACGGTACTTGGACGACCGGGCCGACGGGGGCTGGCGTTTGAAAGCCCCGGCTGCAGCGGATTCTCGGGAGGTGCCGCTGTGCGGGGATGGACCCGGGTGAGCCCCGCAAGCGCAGGGCGACCTAGGGACGGGTGAGGATGTTCTGGACCTTCAGGGACATGCTCGTCCGGGTTAGTTGAGGTTCCGGGCTTGATTCGTGAAGGATTCGGGCGTACACATCTGCGTGTCTCACCGCAGAGACCGCTGTCTCCTGTGTCCGGCGTTATGCCCCCAGAAGCAATCTTTGCTTGTAGGCCAGGCCGACTGCTTTCCTCTCACGACAGGTGCTTGATCGGCTTGACCTGTCAGCGAGGCAGTCCTCGCGAGATTACCGTAAGGTACAGCCAGATCGAGGATAGTCGTCCGGGGTTTCCCAGGGACCTGTCTCTTAAGGACTTGTTCAAGGTGTGAGAAGTAAGCAAGCCCCGGGGTTCTGCAGCTTTTCTGCTCCCTACCCCTTGTCCCGTGCTGTAACTCTGGGCAAGCGTAGGTCTTAGTTTTCCAATCGGTTACAGGGTGAAGGCTGTAATGTGGTTCTGAGGGTAAGGTGACTGTGTGTATCAGGAATCCTTCAACCTCAGGGGTCTTT